CGGCGGATGCGGCTGGCCGACGACGACGAGAAACCGCTCACGTTCGGCCGCGAGGATGCGCAGAATCAGGTCAATAGCACCGTCGCTAAGGGCGGCGGCTCTAAGCGATTAGTTAGTAAGAGGCTAGCGGTACCGAGTAGAAGGAGTTCGCGTAGGCGTGGCGATAGTAGGGTAGGATGCGCGCGTCTCGAATCTTCGTCGGAGAGTGAAAACGAGACCACCAGTACCGAATCAGACTCGGAATCACAGGAAGAAGACATAGTCGAGGACAGTCTCGACGAGGAATCAAGTCACACAGAAAGTCAGAGTCAGGGGGACGAGGAGGAGGAAGGAGAGGGGGGTGGGGAAAAGGAAGAGGAAGATGATGACGAGGAAGAGGAAGCCGGGGAAGAAAGCGAAGACGGAAAGGCAAACGATCGCGATTATTCCGAGCGAGGGGGAGGTTTCTCGAGGCGAAAGGGTCGCTTAGCGGGATCCGGCTCCTGCAGTCGGAATCACTTTGATCTGAATAGCCCTCGCACGAGGTCTCGCGGAAATGTACAAATCAATCTATGGACTCTGGACGTGAGTCCCATTCTGCCCGGTGTAAAACCAAATTGTCGTCGGAATCAGCGTAAGAAATTTCATCGCGTTAAATCCGAGGAAACCTTGTTCTCACCGTCGTCGGATACGTGTCCTAAGAGAAGCGTACGTATTAACATGAATGCTAAGGTTCAGTCTACCAATTCTTATCAGAACGCAAAAATCTCCAAAGTTACGGAGATTGAGCGAGATTTGTCGAAGAATGATACGGACTCGATCGACTCAAACGTTATCGAGCAACGAGTGGCTAATCCCAACGTGAAGCGATCCGTTGACGATCACGTAGATCCGATGATGCCAGTTGCTAAAACACAATTGGAACAAACGAGAACATTGGAATCGAATTCGGATGATAGAGAAGGAGCTGTTAAGGAAAAAAACGATGAGAAAATCGTGAATGGGACTAATTTAATCACTGTCTGCTCTGTTCAAGTAACACGGTGCTCGCAAAAAATGTTGTCCGCGACCTATAGAAAATTCGAATCCGAAGTGAATCGCAATGAAGATGCCGAGAACCTTGACGTAAATGTCAGCGCGAGGAATTCTCGGTCATCTCCGAGCGCGATACAACCGGATGCGTCTCTAAAACGTTCAAAAGAGCCGCCGACGGCCAAGTCCAAATCCGAATTTGGCGTGTCGGCTAATTCTTTGTGCAACAACGCGCGGGGAAAACTGGCGGGGACCGCCGCGACGTCGAGAGAATCGGGAAACGTCGAATCATCTTCGAACCGTTCGGTTCCGCTCTTACGATCGAAAACGTTACGAAATGCAAGTCCCGACGCGGTTGATAAGATTTCCAAACCGCTCGCAATATCTCGCGTTTCAATCGCGCAGCGAAACTCTAAGATGAATGCCGATGATACTCGTAGTAACATGGTGGAGGATGGCGACAAAGACGGTATGTGTGATAATGATAATGACAATGTCGAATCGATAGTATCCTCAACGCGAAAGTATACTAGTCAAAGACACAATTCGAGTGATACACATGAGAATTTAAACTTAAACGTTGCCTCGTTGCAAGTATCGGAAAAGGGAACAGATGATCCGGTATCGAACGTATCCGACTCTCTAAACGCGTCCTCGATAAAAAGCGAAGCCAATTTGAATGAGTCCAAATATAAGATACGAAAATTAGAGGTCACAATTCCGCGAAGCGTGATAACTCGTAGTTCAAAAATTCCGTCGGTTATCAACAACCACTCCGAGGAAAGTAATGCGCGATTGACAGACGACAAAGTCGATTCGTTATCTGAAATTAAAAGTGGGTCGCAAACAAAAACGAGTCAAGGAACGCGAAGAATTGATTTGACGAGTTCGCAGCATTTAGTCGCTGAACAGAGCAGAATCACGCGATCGCTAGCTCCTCCATTGACGCCTCCACCTTTAACTGGCGGTGACGAGACGACAAATTCGAAATTGGCGCCGAGACGACGACCGGATACTCCCCTTCCGCGACCGATCACAAGATCCGCGGTAATTGTGAACACTTCTCTGAGAGTTTCGCCTAGTCGAGGTGAGAAATACGTGACGCGGAATTCGAAGCAGTGTCAGGATAATGGCCTGGTGAGTCCGGTGTTATTGAGATGCAGTAGCTCGATATCGCCAATGAAACCGGATCTTAAGGAGACGTCGGCGACGGCGATAAAACGCCGTCCAGATACTCCACGACCTAACATACCGCCCAATTACAACAACGAACAAATTTCTAGAGTGACGCGCTCGGGATTGACTTTAAATTCCTCGGTCTCCTCGGCAAAGTCAGCGTCGTCGCCATTGTTTTCTTCCCCCGCTTCCGCGTTTAAAACGAACGTCAAACAACCGCGAACGTCGCCGACGAGCAGTGAGCACGAAACTTCTACGAGCTTGATATCCCCATCCTATGAAAAGCCTCAGAGAACCGCTAAGGTCGTGGCTATTCTCAGTCTGGACACGAGAAACCACCATAACAGCAATAAGACTTTTTCGTCGATTCAGGCCAAGTCCCCCGCCAATTGCGAGACGAAGAGTCAGGACAAGGAACATCTTGTGCCGCGATTGTTGCTGAGGGATCAGGAGACAGATCGCGAGGAATGCGACTCGTCCGATACTAAGTCCAGGAGGCTGCGCAGGGAAACGAAACGCACTAGAAATGCTGCATCGTGCTCGCTGGAAGACGACAGGGGTAACTCGGATGACAGTAGCGACAAGGAGCCGATGCAGAAGAGATCCTTTCGCTCGCATCTCTCTCCTTCATCCTCCTCTTCCTCTACTGTCGCGACGACGCGCTCCGACAAACTGAGGAATGCCACAATATCTTGAGTCTCGCTAAAGTATCGTCGCGATGATGTAGTAGAAGTAGTAGTAGTAGTCGTCGTCGTTGTCGTCGTCATCGTCATCAAAGACCCGAGTTTCTCCGTCGGGAATATTATCGCTATTCGACTACTCATTCGATTACTACTACTGTCTACTATTCAATTCGCTTATTGCGCATGTGATGCCGGTTTCGCACTCAATATTTGTCGCATGATATTTTCTCTGTCTTAATACTACTTTGTATATTAATATTTTTTTCTCTATTGTATGTGATATGACGAATTGGCATATGTATAGCTTTATATATAAAACTTACTTTTTCGAGATTGCAGATAAAATTGAAAGTGCATTTTTTTGTAGCTTTGAACAAACATTTTTTTTTATTTATTTTCCTTGCGTATGACACAAGAAAGAAATGATTAATGTGTCGTAAAAAATAAAAAAAAAATAAAAAAGTAAAAATATTGTGATTTGTGATAGTTCAGAGAAATCTAATCTATGCATTTCAATTTGATCAGATCTCTTAGATCTTTTTTGTTATTATACATTATATATTTTGTTATCGAATTAATTGGAGAGCTCATTTTTCTTGAAATGAAAATACAAGAAGTAAAAAATAATAAAATAAAGATAGGGAAGTAAATTATTGTTATTTGTAGTAAAATAACGCGATTTATTTTTCAGATTATAAGAGAACGTTAATAAGACATAAAAAATATCATGGGATAAATATCTGAGTGAAAATCTTCATCTAGCGTTTTAGAAACGCTTGGCAATCGCACGCGCGTTATACGCGCGACTTGTTTACGCGTCTTTTGTCCGTACTTATCTCATATTTAGCGCTCAGTGATTGTTTGATTTTCCCTTCGAAATAACATAGCAACTTTGATCGGAGAGTACTAAAATTCTATACAAGGAACAACATATACATGAGAGAAAAGCTCTAAATAAACTATATAATAATTAAATTAAATTACGTAAATAAAAGTCAAAATGAGAACAAAATTTCGAATGAAGAAAATTGTACGAAAAGCATAATCAAGAGACAACATTTATATAAGGAAATATATAATTGACTATGCATGAGAAAAATGTCTTACTATAAGAGAGAGAGAGAGAGAGTTAGAGAGACTCTCATACGGGAAAAATGAAAGAGGAATCAAAGACACGTTTAGCGCTAACGTGAGACACGAGTACGCATCTGTACATAATCACAATACGATAATGATAAACAATGCGTTTTTTTTCCGGGTTGTACCGCGGGTACACGTGTAATATTTGTAGCGTTGTAAGTTGTGTATCTCCGGTCCTGCCTTCCCACTTTCTTATCTCATTTTATTTTTTTTTTGTTGTATAGGTAGAATCTGTTTCTTCTGACTGCACTTTTCTATAATCTCTGATCTGTCTTGCGCTCGCCTTTCAAATATTCGAATATATCGTATTGAATTCCAAAAAAATAGAAAAAAAAAATAGGGAAGTGCAGACGGCAAAGGCGGATTTTTAGGCGCGCATGCATGACGATTTATATAAAACGGTATGACAAGCGAAACGGACGTGTGTATTATATTAGGAAAGAACGAACCAGTGTAAAACATTAATCGAGCGATTCTCTAGTGCGCCATTTGAAACTATTCATACACACATACATAGACGAGAAACGGGAAAAGGATATAAAAAAGTGTACGGGATAAAGTGTGTAATTCAATTCCACTCTAATTCTTTGTTTCGGCTATTAAGTCTGAGTTTATAATTAAATATATATGAAGGAAGTTTATGACGACAGATATCTGACGAGGATTTAATTAGTAGTGATTAGGATGATGAAGAGTTGCGTGGTTTAGCCGGTTTATTCGCGAGAAAAGGTTTCATGCCGTCTTGAATTACGTAATCACAGAACAATGACCTGATTATTATATTACGTATTATCGTACGCGTAAGAATATCCTTCCTCCGCTCTTTTCCACTTGCCTCCCTCTGCTCCTTTTCCTCCTGATATACACACACACACACACACACTGTAATATTTAAGTTGCGTGCCTGTATTTTGTATGATCGAGCGAGAGTTCGAAGAAGAAAAAAAAATAAACGAGATATTCCTTGCTATATATATATTATATATAGAAATGTGTTCCCTTATTTCTTGATGCGTTTCCAAGTCTGTGTCGATCAAAGGTTCAGTTCCGTTTTGGTGTCAAATCATTCTCAGCTCAGTGTGCTTGTTTATATATTTATCGCGATTTAATAGAACTTTTTTCTCTCTATATCGGTTTGGTGTGGCAAGGCTATCATGACCGCACATTTTTCGAGAAGAAATATGTACCTTAGTATATGCGTAGAGAAAGAAAAGAAAAGAGCTCCAATAAAATTGTTCGTAAAATGGCACCAAAACACTGCCTTTGCCATTCCAAACTTGGAGTCCGCAGCAAGATATAAGCAGGCACATGAGTGAGATACGTTATTTATGCGTTACGTATCTCATCCTATATATGTATGATAATAATAATAATATAATAGATAAAGGAATATATCGTGAAGAACTCTTTCTCTCTTAGAATATTTAGGATGAGAGGAACGAGAACCTTTGAGCGTCTACAGAGTATCCTATAACCATCGTCCTAATATAATTTTCATTATGAATTTTTTGGTTAAATTCGAAGTTGATTTCTCCTTGGAAAATATTTCGAAGAAATTTATAATTTTTTTGGTTGCGATTTCTTCATATTTAACTCGATATTTAAATATATGTTTTCTTTGGAAAAATAATAGAACTCAGAGTTCTAAGTAACTAAGATGAATTAATAAGTAGATTATTTAATTTATTATAATTATAATAATATATGGAAACTTTTATGT